GTATTGAAGGGAAAAAACCACAAGTTAGTCAGTGTTATAAACAGTATATCAAATAAATAAACGAAATGGAATGAATGAAAAATAAAATTTTTTTTATGCAATTTGTTCATTACCTTCCCCTCCACCGAATTTACGTAACTCCTTTCCCCATTCCTCTATTTGTCCCTTCCAAAAATCTTTTTCCTCCACCAACAACTTCTTCTCCTCTTCCAACTTCCCTACCATCTCTTCCCACCTTCCCTTCTGTTCTTCATTCTTCCATTCTTCGTTGTATAACTTCTCCCCCAACTCGATCAACCTCTTTCCTTTATAGTCTCCTTCTTCCCAATCGTTCAACTTCTTACCCGCCTTCCCATACTCCATTTCTGCCTTTGTTAATTGTTGTCTAATTTCTTTGATCGTTGCCATTTTTTAAGATTAAAAAAAAGGATTTGTAAAATTAATTTTTAAAAAAAAATTTTTTTTTATTTGATTTAGATCATAATTGTTATAATTTATGCATGATTTTGACCAATGATAAATTAGTGGGCACATGACCATCATAATGACATATGTTTTTACAAATTATTACTAATATTAATAATTTTGACATCTCTGATAACCATGAAATAATAATTATGATAATAATTGTAAATATTAAAGATTAATGATATAGATATAATTAATGTTAAATCGAAATTATCAATGATTATTTCCTTATTTGGAAATTTGTAGAACTTACATTTTAAAGAATTTTGGAATGTAAACAACTCTATTTTTAGTGATCAATAATTTTTTCATTTGATCCCTGAAATCTTTGGTAATACCAATGTTCACTTTGTCTGGTTTTGTTGCAGCATGCCCCATGTATAAAATATAATGCTTCACATAAATCCCTAAAAATATTAATTCTATCTTTTAATGTTAAATTATAATGATTTTTTTGTATATAATCTCTTAAATTTCCACCTGATTGATAATTAAGAACCATTGCATAATTTCCATTTTCTGGGAATTTAGTTATACCATGACATTGAACAATTGAGCTTGATTTAATTTTGCAATAATTCAATGCCTGAAATTAATCATAATAAATAAATTAATTAATTAATTTAAAATAAATGATTTAATTTAGTTTATTTTAAATAAGATCAATTACCTCATCAAAAAAAGGTTTTCCTGGATTACTTGAATTATTTAATGATTTTAATACAACATTCTGACCTCCAAAATAACTAAGCTCCTTTTTATTTTCATTGTAATCATCAATATATCCTCTTGTCCATATAGCAGTATAAATAGAACTGAATCCACCTTCAGTTAATTTTTCTACATCATAAAATTGCTCATAAGGTATCCATTCTATAATTCTAGCTGGAAGAGATGAAAGCTGTTGACATTTTTGAATAAAACCATCAATTATCTCATTTCCAGATGTCCAAGTACTGAAAAGGCTCTGTAAGTGTAGACTAATACACTTTTCACAATATTTATCAGAGTATCTTGTTGTTTTACAATTATTGCATTCTCTTGATTCACCATATTTATAAATTGCATTTTTTAATTCGAAACCATAAATAAACCTTTCTCTACAATATTCCTTTTCATTTTCTGATAGTTCTTTGTTTTCTTTGACTAAACAGAAAAAATAACCTTTTGCATTTTCTCTGACAGAAACAGTTGGAAATGCAGAATAAGCAATACCATTCATTTCATTTACAATTTTATATACTAATTCTCTCCTGTCTGGTGTTAATAAATTTTCGAAGGACATTTTAATATTTATTTTATTTTTTTTAAATTTTATTTTTTTGTTTATTTGCAGATCAAAATTATTATTAGCCTTCAATAATATCAACAAGTCTAATTTCTTTTGTTTTAATATTATATATGCTTGGTTTTATCCAATTGTTTTTCTTCATAATTTTCACATTCCTAATCTTGTGGGATATTAAAATCTTCTTTTTAACAGACCTTAGTATCTCGAATTCCTTTAATTTCTCCTACAGTAAAAATATTGAATATAGTATAAATGAGAGTGCGCTAGATTGGCATAAAAACAAAAAAAAGTAAATCCAAATGCAAATTCCATTTTCCCTTGTTTCATTTAAAGTATTTGATTTCGTCGAATTCAATTAAAAGTTTGTATTATTCTCACTGTTTTCAGACCCCTTGATTTTAAAAAATAATAACTATAACCAATTCAAAGTCCTATATAGATAGACTCATCTCAATTGTTATTGAACTCCTGATTGTTGTCCTTGTCAAGAATTTAATCGCTTATATTTTCGCTTGCCACTCCATAGATGTCTATTTTTTTAAAAAGAGCGTACTAAAAATAAAACACTTCCACCTTTTCCTTCACAGTTGAAAATTTATTTATGTTAAAGTTCTTCCAAGGCTACCAGAAATTGATTATACCAGATTCCATCAAGGCTTGAGATGTACTGAGAGCAACTAAAGGCAGTACCTAAGCTAACAACGGTCACAAATTATGGATTGATCAGATTACCACCAAATTGTTTCGTAGTTGATTGATTTATTACACCAAGAGTAAATTAATTAGTGCACGATTTTATTGTTCAAAAACTATTCTATAGTACAATGATAGTAACTATTGTAAATTGACATCTTTAATATATTAATATTTGAGCAATAATAACCAGGACAATAATAGTAAGCGATGTAGTAATTCGCCAATAATGATATTACTATTAATTCGTAATCCTTTTAAGCTTTAACAGAATATCAAGAAAAAAGATTTATACAGGTCTATTTGTCAATATATAGTTGTTTATTTGTAGACTACTACTATTAATTGCACCGCAACGGATCAAATATTTGTCTGATGAGAATTTCTTTCTAGGTGAACTTTGACTGGATGTAAAGCTCCAAGAATATACTATCAAAAACACAGTCATTAACATTTTGTGTACGCGAGTAAAAAATCAACTTTTAAAAAATCAAATCTTTTATGTATTTCAACTAACATCAATATTCATATATTACAGGCGTATTATAGGAAACACTAAAAAAAGTAATTATTATCCATACGTTTCAAATCCTGATCCTACTACATCTTTACCAACTACCATTATCAATTGTTGGAAGAAAACTAGAATTCTTCCTTCAAGAAATGAAACACTTAATAATAATGAAATTGAATATTCAAATATTCAAAGAAATTAATATAACTCGTTCTAAATGAGTTAGTCTGTTGGAAAAAAGAAGGTATAGTGATGTATGGTTTAAATATTTTTTATGAATCAATTTTACATACCCATATGCTTAAATCTACTATATGAAATATATATAGAATGGTGTCATGCTTATGCATTGTTAATATATTCATTGATTAATGTTAATACTGTAAAGATAATAGTTATTAGCATTTTTAATATTTTTTATATGTTTATTAGCTTCTATTTTAATTTTTGATATAAATTATAGAGATTTATAGTACAAAAATAAAAATAAAAAAACAAAGTGAGAATGATTCTATTAAATAAATAATCTATAAAGCCAAGTATATGACATTCTTTACGTATTCATCCTTTATTTTGTTGAAGGTGATGGTATTTTTCAAGTTCAAGTAACTAATTACTTGAGAATCAACTCCAAAGAATTTTAAACTAGTAGCAGGGCACTGAGAGGAAAATAAATAAATAAATAAATTTGAAATAGGGATTTTTGATGATATATTCTATATATACTACAACACTTCCTAAATAACAGACATGGTGTATACGCTATTTTTCATTTAAAACAGACAAAGAAATTATTACATTGGTTATTTTTCTTTAATATTAAAATATTAAAATGATTTTTGTATAAAAAATAAGTAATTTACTTTTGTAGATTCAAAGAGAGTGTGTAATGTTCCTTGATGACTGTGCCGGTGTTCTTTATAGAGTTTTCAGATGGGTTAATGATAATGGTGTTGATTATAGTAAGTTACGATTTGTCTCTTACTTCGATAGTTTTGGCAAATTTAAAATGTTCTTTAGGTCAAGTTACGCTCAAAGCTACATAACAAGGCCCACGTATTTGCAACAGTTGAACCATCTTTGCTTTATACAGTCAAGGATAATGCGCCATTTGCGGAACATGAGAAGATGGCAAAGTTGATCAAGGAGGACGGATGGGACTGAAGGTTATAATTACTTATCCAGCAAATTTAAGTATGTGAATAAAGCAATCGGACACTAAAAGTAATTTGATGACCTCAACAGTTCAAATTGTGATTGATCAATATATCATATAAAGAACAATATTGAGGTTTTGAGCCTGATGGATGAATATCATTAAACAATTTAATGTCATCAGAATGATAAAACTTTCTTGTATTAAAAAAGTTCATTACTCTAAGTAAATAAATCGAGTAATGAATCGTATTATACAAATGTTCCCAAAGAAATTGTATAGAAAGTTAAATTTAAGTTTATGCTCCTTACAAATAAGCGAGGGAATGTTAAAATTATGACTGTTTAATGTCAAATGTAATGAATGGAAAATCAATAATACAAAAAATTAATGAGAATCTCAATTTTAAACTTCACAGATAATTCCAAGCAAATTTTTTATATTGAATGATTTAGAGGGAGAATTGTTGTAGGATAATTCTTAAAAATATTTTTATATTCTTACAGTTTATTTATATAGTAATAGGAGAAAATATTACTTGAACACGTGATAAATATATAATTTTTTATTAATTATTATATAATATTTACATTTTGTATTATCAATCTTCCGTAAGAGAGGAAATAAAAAAATATTAGAAGAGAGAGAAAATCTTAAATAATCTATATTTCAAAATTCTAAATCTATATAGTATATACATTTTAATTAACCATAATCATAAATTGTTTCTTAGAAAACTTATAATATTTACAAAAATTTCTAAATCTTAAAATAAATTGTTCTTAATTGTTTTTTTTTTTTAAAAATTAAAATTTTTTGTTGAATCATAAAATAAATCGTTATTATTATTTAAAAATAAATCTTGATTTATAAATAATAAATTATCATCATTAATATTAATATTGTCGAAATTATTATTATTATTATCATAACATGAAATTCCAAGTTCAAACGATGAATTTGTAAAATCATTTTGTTGTTGATAAATATTTATAAATTGTTGAAACTCATCTATATTATCGATATTATTATTAAAGTCCGAAAAAATTTCCAATTCTGAAGATGAAAGTGAAGATGATGGTGGTTGAACGAAAGAATTGATTAAATTTACAAAATTTTGTTGCTCATATAGATTATCAATATCAGGTGAACTACTGCTACTAGAAGAAGATTGATAATCACTTGTTGTGGTAGTAGATAATAACATATCTTCTTGACCGAAAGAATTTAAATATTGATTTAAAACATCCTCAGAATTATTAATATTTGGTGTGAAAGATGACGAGTTTAACATATTTTGAATAAGAAGATCATTATCAATGTTGTTGAAAAATAAATCAAAATTTGTTGAAACATCAGGCGAAGAATTTGTTGAAGAAGTTGAGAGAGGTAAAAATGATAATAATGGAGTATTGTTGTTGTTGTTGTTGTTAAAATTATCAAAGGTTAATGAGTCAATTGCATTAGCAACAATATTATTATTATTATTATCGTTATCGTTATTGTCAATAATAGTAGCGGGCGGTTTAGATTTTATGGCTCCATTTTTATTTTTATTTGTATTTCTATTTTTATTTCCAGGTTGTTTAACGTTTTTAGGTTTGGGAGATTTATTTTTTTGCTCAAAAGAAACGAAATTCCAACCTTTTCTTTTATTAGGTTTGGTTGGTTTTGGATTCATCTCATTGAGATAATCGAATGCTTCATTTGCAAGTTTTTTATATTCATCTTTAACATATTGAGGCTCATTTTCCCAAGATTTGGAAACCATTGTTGAAATAACGGTCATTGGTAATTTGTAGCCATCAGCTTGTACTGTACCCAGAAAAGCTTTACGATAAATGATGAAAGCGTTAGGAGATCTTGTAGGAAATTTACCATTGGCTTGTTTAATTACCAATTTACGAGCATCGATCACAGGTGGGAAGGGTGGTTTGATGAATGGATGGCTGCTACTAGCAGAGATGGTTTGGTTTACTTCCGGATTACTAGTATCAATGAAAAAAACGGCTCTTTGATTAGAAGAATTCTCAAAGTTATTCATTTTTGTTAAAGGTTTATTTGTTTGATAAATTATGGTTTGTTTTATTTTTTTAATTTGCTTTGAAGTTTTGATTTTTGAATTGAATTTTTTCTACGCTGGCGAACCTTGGTATTTATACACCAAAAAAATTTGCATATTTGTAAGAATTCCACAAAATTATTTTTAGACAAATCGGTCACACAAATTGAATCATTATTCAAAGTTTAATTACTTTATAAAGAATTCGCTGGTTTCTTTAGTTCTTTAAAATTAAACAAAGTTTTTAATTACTAATCAACTATAAATAAACACACCGTACTTTTTCTATTGCAAGCACGAATTTATTAATAATTATCCAATCATCATCACTCATTGCATTAGCCACAGTTTTTTTAAAGCCGCTTTGATAAACAATAACATACCCAAAACATTTATTATTAATGGCTTGCCAAAAACAAATTTAAAGTTTATCGAAAAGTTTAACCAATTTGTTGAATTATTTTAATTCCAAGATTACTATATTTCATCATTGTTAACTTCAGTATCTTAAACCGAATTCTTTTGATTTTCTTTCTAAAAAAAAAAATCTAAAAATTTAATAATTCATACTCGTTAAATCGTTTGCCAATAATATTTTGGTTCCAAAATATTTCATGTACTTGAAAAAGTTTCCATGGATTTCTTCTTTGTTTAAACTGTTTTTTTGGAACAAAACATATTATTGAGCCAATGTTTCTCGTTTAATGATAACAATTAGATGATGGAAACCTAAAGAGAAAAAAATTCATTACACGTAAAATTTTTTATCAAATGCATTCTACAAGGTATATTAAATTTATGTAGCAATCGTATACAACAAGTAAAATAACACTTGTATTCTTCACAATATAATGTTACTTCTGCACAATTAAACTTGGAGAATGCTGTCAGGTCTTTTCCAGCTTCCGGTAGCAAAGCATGACCTTTGAATATAATATTATTAATATCACACTGATAATGAAAGTTCGTAATTGTTGTTTAAACATTAGCTCACTTTATTCATGGATATACTTTTGACAAGTTAATTACTCTACTACAGAAAGACGTAAACTAACATAATTAACATAAAATCAAACCTTCGATTAAACAGTTGCTTCACTTAATTCATGAACTCCATGAACTCTTAAGACAAGTTTATCAATTTTGAAAACTTGACAAAAACATTGTGTAAAAATTAAACTCATGGACATGTAAATGTTTTGATTAAAAAAAATTTTCCCAAAAATAAAAGTTATTTGGTTGTATGAACCGTTTAGAAATCTACAAATAAATAGATAAAAATATAAAGTGATACTTGAATAGTTTCTTTCCTCTCAAAATTTTGTTACTTACAAACTGTTTTTATACAAATCTCGGTTGATTTTTATGCAAAATATGAATGGAAATTTTGCCTTTAAATAAAGAATATTTTTTCTGAACGACCAAAATTCTTGAGAGTACTTTCAATGCATTCTGGTTAATTGTTCATATGGGTATTTCGAATGTTTTTTTCAATCAAATGTACATTCCTTTTTTTTCAATTACGCAAAATTACGAACGAGATTTTTATTTGCGTTAAATCAATACATCTAATTAATTTAATAAAACAATTTAGTTGTTATTGTCGTTGTTATTTAATAATTTAACAATTGGCTAACGATATTTTGAAGTTGAGATGCCACAACCGCAATTCAATTTTTATATGTATTTTATATTATAATGCAAATACTCTACACGTGAGATAATTTACCTATAGTACAAAATACCTAGTCCCACAACCTTTTATCGGTCTTATATACTCCAAAAATGGAAATGTAAACACCAAATCGTAGTTTTGAAGCCAAAGGTATATATAAATCTCGTATAAATATAAAATTATCGTTTTATCCAAAATCACATGACTTCAACTTTTTTGGCGGTGTTGTGGAGCAGAAATTAGTGGCTCACCATAGTTCCCGTGAAACTTCTGAAAAAATGACATTTCATGAATTATTACCACCAGAAAGAGAAGATTCTGTTTATAAAATTTATAATGAAATATATTATAATGCCATTTCAATCGCAACTGATATCAATAGTAATAATGGTTCATTAAATTCATCATTTGATGAGATTCGAAAGTCTACATTTTTATCATTAATAAATGAAAACAGAGAACTTGCAGAAAATGAAAAAGAATATTCCAGGGAAAAATATATCTATGATATTGAATTAATTAAAGCAATTAACACGAGTGGTAAACCAATAGAATGTAAAAAATGTAATGCTACAAAATATTCAGAAAGATTTTGTGAAAGCTGTATAAGCCTACACCTACAAAAACATTTCGACGCTTGGACTTCTGAAAATAAAATCGTTGATGATTTTATTCAAAAATGTCAAAAAATTTCAGCTCTTCCATCTCAGATTTTAGAATGGATCCCGTTTGATCAATTTGAAAACGTTAAATACTTGACAAATGGAGGATTTGGTGATATTTATATGGCAACATGGAAAAGAGGACCTATTGTTGAGTATGATGAAGACGAAGAAGAATTCATCTATAGAGGAAAATATTTGGTAGCTTTAAAAAGTTTGAATAATTCAAAAGAAGCAGGAAAAAAATTTTTTGATGAGGTCTGTAATAATTTTTTAAAATTGTGTATATATATCATATTAAATTAATTGATTAATATTTATGTGTAATTTCAGGCATTGAATTATTGTAGAATTAAATCACATCTGATCATTCAATGCTTTGGCATAACAAAATTTCCAGATGATGGAAATTATGCAATGGTTATATTATATATTAAAGGGGGCAATTTAAGAAATCATTTACAAGAAAATCATTCAAAATTAATGTTAAAAGATAGAATCACGATCTTTTATTATTTATGTTTTTCATTACATTATATACACGAAAAAGATTTAATACATTGTGATCTACATAGTGGAAATATACTAGTAGAAGGAGGTGGTTGCTTTATTACAGATTTAGGATTATGTGGTCCAGTTGATGATGATGGATCATCAAATAAAATTTATGGAATCATGCCATATATTGCACCCGAGCTTTTTCAAGGAAACAAAAATACAAAGGAATCAGATATCTATAGTGTCGGGATGTTGATGTGGGAAATATTTGCAGGATGTCCACCATTCAATGACAGGGCTCATGATTCTGATTTAATTTTAAAAATATGCGAGGGACTAAGACCACCAATAATACCAGGAATGCCAAAAGAATATGCAGAATTGATGCAAAAATGTTGGGATGGTGATTCAACAAAAAGACCAATCATTAATGAACTTCTCAATTTTTCTAACGCGCTTTCAAAAAAAGTTCATGAAAACGAAGATTTATCTAATGAAACTTTGATTCCTGCTACCGGTGACCCTAATAACATTGGTTTGCCATCAAGACAGAAACCTCATCCATTGGCATATCATTCAAGTAGAATATTAGATGATGACATTGCTAAATCAAAAGAATTAAAAGGTTATAATCGTTATAATACTTCATTAAACATAAATGATTTTGACATTTCAACGTTCCCTAATAAACTTTTTAACAACAACGATAATAAAGAAGGTAATTACAAAGTATTTGAAAATTTTTATTATTAATTTTCATTAATGGGTTATTTATTTTTAATTGATTATTACTAGATTATAGCAATAATGGTGATGATGATAAAGGAAAAGACATTGAAAAAAATTGAAGAAGTTGCAATCAACGATACTGATGAAAGATACTGATGAAATGGTCAAAGAAGAACAACATCAAGGGGCTATATATAATATCTAATGTATATAATTGATATTTTAATTTTATTTATTTAGTTTGTTGGCTTGTAGATTTTTAATATAATTGATAATATTTTATTATTTATTTTAATTAGTTGAAGTTAAGGAAAATATTACAACAGAAGAAGGTAATTATTATTTATTTTTGTCATATATTTCTTTATTATTTATTTATAAATAGTTATTTCATTATTTATTGTTTATTGTTTATTGTTTATTAGATACATAAAATCAATATGTATAAATCAATGGTACTTTCTGAAGATTTATTATAATCGTAATGCCTGATTAAAACTATTGAATGAATTTTTTTATTACGTTAGTTTTTGTTTGAAGAAAAATCATTATACAATCTTTTGTTATAATAATGATGGCGTGTTTTGATATGTTGTTGGTCACAAGTCTTTGTTATTATTGGCTTAACAATAAATTGGAGGGCTTTTCCACGATTTTTAATGTCAACAATTGACTTAAAAATACAAATTTATTCTAGAGTTTGGTGTCAACCAGGTTGGTTGCCGTTTGACTGGTTAAAAAATCTAAACAGTGAACATTACCAACCAACAAGAAATACATGACTGATAATAATAATAATAATAATAATAATAATAATAATTATATATTTAAACATAATAAATAAAACTCTAATTCATGATAAATCTATGATGGATAAAAATAAATGCATAATGATTGATAATACATGAATAAGTTTAAATGTATGTATATATGGATAAAAAATATATGAATGAAATGATATGAAAAATTTGTAAATTGTAAAAATGTATATGTAAAAATGTATAAATAAAAAAAAAAAAAATTCAAAAGTCTAATAAGTTTAAAATCCAAAAGTCCAAAATTTCCAAAAAGTTTTGCAGAATCTAATTCCTTCTTAAATAAAGTGTTGTGTGTTTTTAAGCAAATCATGAATAACTATACAATTTGTACTTGTAATTCTATTATTTACACCACTACGACTGCTACCATGACTTGAACTAGAACTGTTGTCATTCCATGATGCTTCAAGATGTTTTGCTTTATTGACTAAATGATGAGCGTAATAGACAGGAATTACATGCGACACGGAAAGATTGCATCTAATTAAGAAAAATTCAATTCAAAGGTGAGAAAATGACGAACTTTTTTTTAATAAATATAATAGTATTTTTTTTTTTAGTTACAAACCTTGAAGACAAGAAACATAATCTATAAGTAAA